GCCCGAATCACTCTATGATAGTGAAGCCTGCCGTGGCAGAGTACTCTGGGTTGTTCTCAACCCAATGAGATTTTTAAGGGGCCCCTGAAGCCGAGCAGACGAGCTCCCTGGCGCGTCAGCCCTTAGCATGTGGAACTAGCGAAGTTACCAGCAAATACTATGTCAACTGTGTGAAAGACGTGGAATTGCCTTCTATTACAAAAGCTCTCGATGACGCTCACTGTAACTTCATTCCTGTGAGTAAAAAAAACGAGATGAAACATTATTCTATAAGTGTTGTAAACGCAGTGAGAAAAATAATAGAGCTTGCTCCGTGAGTGTGAATTTCGATATGAAGAAAGGGAGTAGACATGTGCTGGTAATTGAAAGAGAATAGGCGACTGTTCTGACGTTATTGTAGCTGGCTTCAAAAGCGACGCCCAAGGTAGATGATGTGGTTTTCACGCTTGTGACTGGTTTAGTTGAGGGAGTAACGAATCAAGCTTTCTTAGCTATGTCACGTTTATTTACGTATAGACCTACATAGTTCGCATAGTTCCCTACAGCTAACAAGTATCATGGTAACCGCACATCATCAGTTTTGTATAACAAGACTCACTCTGACCACGCGTTCACCGTACGTGTATATCTAGCACTACCTGAACTCGCCCATCCTAAGATATGAAGAAGACAATGGAAATTTTCAAAATGGGTTTTAATATGCGTGCAGATACCGGGGTGTCCAGTGCGAATCTGTTGCACAAATGAAAGTTGCCTTACAACAAACTTTTCTTCGTGCAATCTGGATCTGTTCTTCGACTGCCAATTTGGCGCGAATGCTGATATCCTGCGAATCATCTCAAAGCAGAGTATTGATGACAGCTATGCCACTAAGTCACGAGTATCTGAAATATTGCAGCATTAGAATATCTCGGCAAGCGATTTGCACGTCTTTCTCTATATTTCGGTCGGTATCTGTAAACAAGACGAATGCTCAGGGGAAGGTGGAAGCTTGAAGCGATGAGAAACAGTTGAACACCGAATGTCGATAAGAGAAACGTTTGGCAGGTGGACGTGGGTTCGTCAAAGTGGTTGCTGCCTCCTTGAAGTATACTTTTCGACACGTTGATCCCATTAACAATCACTACACAACTATTTATCTTGAAGTCAGTGGCGAGTGAAACACAAGAAGATATGTTACATTAACGACAGTCTGTCGAGTGATTCTAGTCTGCCAACAAGGCTTGAATGAGCATATGTGCAGGGAAGGCAAGAAACAGCGACGTTGCTCGGGTCTACACGCACGTTTCAGACTTCACAAAAAATTGTATGTGTTCTCTTTCAGGGAGATAATGCAATGGGAATCGTAGTAAGTAAAGTGTTTTGATAACCTCACCAGCTCTCACTGATTTCCACCAATGCCGCAAACAAGCATGCGATACACATAACTAGCCTACTTTTACGGGCGTGTTTTTTCGCATTTTGAACTTAGATGTGCACATCTTTGGCAAGATGGTTTCATTATATGAAGGCAAATGTGCACAGACATTTTTCGCATATTTTTGTGCATGTACATTTTAGGCTTGGTGGTCTTCTACGGAATGCTCGCACTCGGACCACGGCACACGAGAGGATGCACTTGTCTTCGTTGTCCTGTTCGCATACTTGAACTTTACAGGACCATGTATTTCCACATTTGTTGATGCATGATCAACTTAGCCAACAACATCAATTGCTTCCCGTTTTGTGCTAGACTTACTTGGTTGCGTTGTCACCTTCGCTAGCGATGCACTTGAAATCAATTTGTATGATCCTGAAACTAGCCTAGTGACCAAGCTGTGAGTTCATAAGTATGAATACAGGCTTATAACACGCAGGAGTTGTCAGCTCGATTGAGAGGCTTAAGGAGCGATACAAAATATATGTATATAGCATTGATAAGTATTTACATATTTAGTAAATCAATAACCAAGCTAGAAAAAGCATAAATTCATATGAAATGCCGGCTCACCCATAATTTGCGTCCACGCGTAAATGATTCGTAACAACTTTCAATATTCTTTCAGAAGATTCGCGGTGTTATCCGGCACGCAGTGCCTTTCTAGACTTGCTCAAAATGATAAGGTCGCGGGGAAAAAAATGGAAGCCACAATGCACAATCGAAGCCACAATCGTTCACAATCGAAGCCACAATGCAAGCGCATTACTCATACGGATTTATTCTTAGGGCGAGCCACTGAATAATAATGAAATAGTCATTTAGGCGGGGACTGCATCTCACTTAAAATCTACATGCCCCGCCTCGTGCCCATCTACAGCGCTTTGAAACAGCTTCACTGTATTCATGACCGACAAGCGTAACCCTTGGCCGTCGCATCACTAACGCTGGCTGATGTCTCTATACCGTTAATAAAACGACCAACAATCAGCCCAAAAAGGATTCACAAAGCGCGCCGGATAAACCTGCGCATTTTGTGAAAAGTATGCAACGAGCGACAACGCAAATGAGCGATTTTTTTGTGGTTCCTAGACTGAGCGCATCCTTGACTTTCAAGTACGTTTCAGCTTCCCGTACGAACCCCAACCACCGAAACGCAGCACCAAACCAACCTTTGAGCTTACAGTTACTCCTTGTTTTTTTCAAACTTGTAGAGCTGTAATGTTTAGTGGAAATTACAACATAGCATGCATATTTAGGGAGAAAAGGGACGCACGCAAAGGGGGCGATAGAAAGTAACGTGGGCAGCTGAGATTAAGGAGTTCGCGTATTTAACATGGCCGCAGAACTGGGCTGAGTGGTGGAGCATGGGAGAGGCTTTTACCTTTGCGTGAATGCAGTCAGGTTGCTGCCGGTGATGATGCATGTTTTGAATATCGGCAAAGCTAGCGGCTCTTCCTGTCTCGTCTTTGGTGCTTGCTTCGATTTTCCCACTGTGGTAGCCCAGTGTTAAACGTTCTGTTGCTTTGTGCTTCATTATGTTCTTGGCCCTAATACCGGGCTCCGCTTGTATTCTTTCATGCCGAGTAGTCGCAGCAAACTCTAAACGGTAGAACGAAAGAAGAGGTAGGAGCACACTACTGGTGTCTTCGTTTGTTCGCCCAACGTTTGTTGCAACTGTTTAACACGCAACAATGCCAACTGGCCTAGGTGCAAGCTGTTCTAGTTTTATCTTGATGCGAATATAATAAAAAAGAAAAAAAGAGCGCCTGCATAGTGAGCACTTGCACGTGTGCGCTAACAAATTCGACATGATCGTAAAAACTTGTATGGCTCGAGGTCTGTAGGGTCAATGACATATTAAGTACTTTTTCGTCTTGTTTTCTTTTTCAGCGTTGCTACGTAAAGCGCCTGCGCATGGAGTTGAAGCAGCTATATTGCCTTTTGGTAAGAGAGCAAACATTTCAAGTCACTTTTGCTAGATGCCCGGAATTAGTGCGGCCTGGTACACCGAACGACGAGCCATAGTTTTAGGAATTCAAACTTGATAATACCGCTGACTTTTTTTACTAGGGGGCCACGGAGTGCGGCTGCACTTCACATGGGCTCCTGCTTTTCATGCTAGTTTTTGTGGTTCAACGCTGCGCTACTCCTGGTTTTTTACGCTGGCCAATTGACCATTTGCGGAAAAGCTTCTGCGCATGCGCGGTAACGGCGCAGCTGGTGCCCTCTATGGGCGCTTTGGTTTTGGTTGGAAAACACGAGCCGGGCCGGCCGTCACTCGTGCATCTCTGTGCCGTCACTGAACTAAGTCGCCTCGCTTTAGCAGCGTACAGAAATGCCAGCGCACTGTGTGGCCTACGGCTGCACGAATTATTTTACTCAGAAAGGAAGCACGCATTTCTACAGGTTCCCGTCCGCGAGGCTACGTGCCGAAAAGAGAGATGCTTGGGTAGCTGCTGTGAGGAGACAGAATGCCGACGGTTCGCCGTGGGCGCCCAACAAACATTCTCGGATCTGCAGCGCGCATTTCATAGCAGGTACGGTAATTTTAAGTGCTTATAACTTGGTTTGTGCAATCAGAAATCACGTTTACTGCAGGACGGCCGTCAAAGTTCAAGAACCATCCTGACTTCGTCCCCAGTGTGTTCACCTACGTGAGAAGTCGCGGCGATGCTGCTGTGCGTCGCCATAGCCGATGGTGGAAGCGACAGAAAGGTAAGCGCTACAATCTCAGTTTATATTTACTGGGACAAAAACTGCTAATGCAGAATAGAGGAGCAGATGTTCGTGAAGGCAACCACACATCTGTCTGAGCGCGTGAACGGTCAGTTCTGTCGCGCATTTACGAAGGTCGCTCTTGCTTTCCGGACTCACTCCAGCTTTTAAAGATGTACGGTCTAAAGCACAGTCAGTGGAAATGTGAATGTATAATAAATACTTGTTTCGAGCCCGGTACCACTCTAGTGAGCCGTTCGAGCACTCTAGGCTATCGTCTGGACGGCTGTACTGCATTGCTCCCGTCTGGTATTTTGTGACTGCTTTCATCATGGGCGAGGCCAGACGAGAAACCAACCACTTTCGAGGCGATTTGCAGTGGATAGTGTAGTGTGACAGGCAGTGCTTGCGAGGTTTCCCGTGCCTGCGGCACCGTGAGAGCACTTGTATAGATTTATTGCCCACTCGATCATTTTTGCCGCTGCTTCCCGCATTTACAGCGTGTTTTTAGGTTGTGAAGTCGTATTGTGAATGCCGCATGCAATGCCTTTGTCACCAGTAGGGTAGCCAGACATATTTCGGTGGTGGGATTCAACCATACTTTATGCTCGTGTGTGCGTTGGTATGTGTGCGTGTACTATATACACATGCAAAGCTGAAAAATTTCGGGGGTTTGAACCCCTCAAACAACTCTTCCGCTCAGCCATGTCCCTGATTGTCACTATTTCTTAGACACCAAATATGTGGCTGTTATGCACATCTCACCCTAGGTGCTTATTGTCAGCAAATGACCTGTGCATAACCACGATACCATTCTTTCAGGGGAGCTTGATACGACAGCCACTTCTGCTACTCCTAATGACATGCCAGAGTTGCAGGATCCTCCCAATGGTGAGCTTGCTTGCACTTTGCAAACTTAAGTGCTGTTTTGAGTTTCTTCCCGTGGCATCATGTGATTGCCCAGATTTCAGCTGGCTTGATTCTGCAGACACATTCATATAGGAGATAATGGTCAGCTGATGTGTTGCTTTCAGAGAATCTCAACATGGACACTAGTGCTGCACAGGATGGTGTACTAGATGAGAATTCGGTGGACCTGCAACAACTGGAAAATGGTAAGTTTGTGTGCACTTTGCAGAGTTGAATGTTTTTTCAGCATTTCCCCATACCACGATGTGAATCCTGCCGCTGCTTGTTGCATGTGGCCCATTTCTGCAGTAACACACTCATACAAAGCAATTAGATGTCATGCTGTTGCATTGCTTGCAGAGAATCCTGACGAAGGCTTGGATGCTACAAAGGATGATGTACCTGATCAGGACTCGATGCAGCTGCAGCAACCCGAAAATGGTGAGTTTGTATGCACTTTGCAGAGTGCAATGCTCCTTTCGGCTTTTTCCCGTACCATGATGCCAATGCTGCAACTGCTTTTTGCATTTGCAGATAGAAACTCCTCAGCTATAGGCTTATTGTAGAGCTTGTTTCTAGTCCGTATGTCCATATGTGTAACATTGACTTGCAGAGGGCGCTCTAAGGTGCTTGACGAGCGCTTTTTCTGTGCCACTTGCAGGTATAAAGGAGCACATCTGGCCAGATTGCCGCTGTCAAGCCTGTGCTTCTAAGAAGATTGAAGTTCTGGAGCAAGAAATAGGAAATTCACAGAAGTTTATCCTCCAGTTGCAGAAACAAAATGCAAAGCTAGAGGTGCAGCTAGATGCAGCCATGTCAAGGTGTCTCACCCTGACTACTCTAGCCACTCCAAAGGACTGCATGTACTACACTGGATTGCCGAATGTTGAAGTGTTCAATATTTTGCTTGAATACTTTGCACCACGCGCTAGAAAAATGTTGTACTGGGGCTCAGATAAAAAACGGCATAATGACCCTCGTGGCAACAAAAAAATGGCATTCTGGCCAAAGAATTTTTCATGGTGTTAGTTCGGCTCAGGACAGGTATGCAAGGGCAAGAACTGGCCAGGAATTTCCTGATGTCAGAAAGTCTAGTTAGCCGCACTTTTTCCACATGGATTAACTTTTTACAACGAGAGCTTCGGCACTTGACACCATTACCTACTTTAGATCACATAAGATCCCACCTACCGAAGTGCTTCTCTGATTTTCCCGACACCCGTCTTGTTCTCGATGCCACAGAGGTGAGAATACAGAGGCCTTCGCCATTGAGCGCACAGCGCCAAACCTTCTCACCATACAAGCATTACAACACGTACAAGGCGCTTATTGGATGTACAACAGATGGATACATCACTTATGTGTCTCGCCTCTGAGGAGGCTCTAGCTCGGATAAAGCAATCTTGGAAAGTAGTGGTCTTCTTGACAAGCTGGAGCCAGGAGATGCAATAATGGTTGATAAAGGTTTTAAATTTCCTTACTTGCCAGCAGGTATAACAGTTTATCGGCCTCCATTCCGAGAGCCTCACCAAAAGCAGATGCCTGCAAATAAAGTTGACGAAACCAGGCGCATCGCTTCTGCAAGGGTGCACGTTGAAAGAACCATTGCAAGAGCTAAAAGCTTTCATATTTTGGATAGGCCCTTTCCTATCGCCATGATAGACATTGCTGAGCAGGTTTTTGAAGTTTGTTGCCTCTTGAGCAACTACAGGCTGCCTTTGATTCGAGAGGTAGATTAGGATTTGCAAGAGCACGAGCATAGTTTTCAAAAGGAAGCCAAGTTTGATATTGGCCTGAGCTGGCTAGAGTTAGGAAATGATTTGGTGGCTGCAGCCAAGGCAGTAACAGAAGTCAGCTGTTTTTCGAATGATGTGCCATTTTGAATGTTTTACCAAACTTGCTGTAACCAATAAATGTAACTATGAAACATTTTTCAATGAATCTTGTTATATCACAGTAGCTATATTCACCTTTGTGCTGAATAGACCCACGCTACTGAAGCCCCATATAGTTGGAATTTATCTCGCGCTTTCCACGACAGCTTTCAGAAGCCACGTCAAGCCCCATTTGCCTTACTCTAAGTCACAAATAACGAAACAGGTTGTTTGCCTGTGTTACACTGTCCCATCTTACATAAGTCACAATAAGCCTTTGTTACTTAGTTACTTTCAGACTATAAGAGCCATGCATTGGTTTCACAAGTATAGCTGAACAGTCTTCACATGATTATGCCACGATTGCCATGAATTTCACAGAGTTTTGCAGTGCACTCTTTGAGAAGTTAACTGAAAAAAAAGCATGAGACTGTTTCTCCCCAGAAGAGAGCGATTATAAATAAAGTGAGGCGTCTTACTTCAATTTTTTTATTTTGATGCTTAGGCCATCTAGGCGCGTGCAGACATAAAATCCAGCCTTGAATTTTTTGAAAGACACGTATGTTTCAGACGTGTAAAGCCGCCCAAGCCTTTTGACACGCCGTGTCAAGATTTCGGGTACAAGTGCATGCTTAGTGAAGTGCAAGAGTCCTGGCAGTACTTCCTGAGCCCAGAAGTTTTCGCAGAACTCTATCATTTCAACATGGAGATGGGGGGGTCTCCTGGTGCGTTTCCCTCAGTCCATATGACAAAATCGCACCAGTTATGGCCCGTTACTGCCATCTGGCCTTGCACCTGATAGAAATAGGCGTGGTCCCGCTTCAGCTCCGCACCTTCTTCGGTGAGTCTGCAGCAGAAGTTTCTGTCACTGCAGGCGTCCTCACACGTTATCCCTTTTTTTTTGAAAAAGGGCATTTCACTTCTAGTAGGCCTTCTTTTCCATCTACAACAACAATTCTGTCTGGTGAAGCAGCTAAGAAGGGGTACTGGCAGTGGACGTGAAGTCCAGTTTCCCGGACTGCCACGCTCGAGTCTCTGGCCTGCAACAGTTTCACATAAGCAGCTACGGCATCTGCTTCGTGCTGTCTGCCATATACGATTGCTTCGGAAGTGGCTCTGTCCCAAGGGTACAGTAGTGCCTTTAGCAAGCTGTCCGGTTTTGTACACCGGCAGATCCTTTTAAACATCAATGCTGTTAGCCGTCCAACCCGTTCTGCATGCCACTTCTTGTTAGATGCTTGGCCGACTGTTTGGTGGCATATCAGATCCCTCTCTGTCTGGCTTAGTGGCTTCATTGTTTTCATGTACGACTGTACCTCAGTTGCTGCAGCCTCGCTCCAGAGGTCATCGCTGTCCTCTATGGGCTTCTTTATGTTGCATGGTGGCTTTGGCTTGGCTTTATCGTGGCACATGTATCGCAGAGCATGCAGATCGGTACAGGCGGTTGCCAGCTTATCCCTCAGTGACTGAATGGCATGTGGACTAGGAAGTGGGCCATCAGCACAGGGGTCATAATCGCGCTTCCGTTTCCCACGTGTAGGCTTGTTTATGAAATACTTTTGGAATCTGATTTCACCCAGAGGCTTTCTTGCCACTGGTTTCTTTGCTGCAAGTAAACAGAAAATAAGGTACTTCAGTTATGCTGCTAAAGAGAGCACACATGTGAGTGATAAGTACATTTGTGTTGAGAAAGGGAGCATATGCACGTGCACAAGCATGACTGTTCAACACATGAGGAAGTGTGTTTGTTCGTGTACTGTGCTTTGTGGTGTGTAAATGATGTAACACTGTTTATTAATAAACTGGCATGACTGAGCAAGCAGTCATGAAAATGCAACGCTGCGAGCCTGTTTCTCTATGTATATTTTGTGAATGACACATAATGGTATGTGAACGCAACGTCATGTTCACAATAGCGGTAATTTACTGGTTTGAACATCCACTGCTTACACGAATCCTGGAGTGCAAGTTGCGTCTCCAACCATTTATTATGCTTGGATTCCCGGCTGTTAAAAGGTTTCTGAAAGCGGTCTCTATTGTAGTATGAAATACACGGGACGGGTAGTACCAGGACAAGCGCTGTCCTGCGTTTACACTGCGCTATGTATTCTCTGCAACCATGATTAACTAACATGCTAAAACCCACTACCCTTCGAACTAGTATTTGACCTGCACTGTGTCATGCAATAAGCTTTGTGCTCGGCACTGTATGGCTGAGCTGCTTTTGTGCCATTAAAATATATCGCGATCATAATATGCTTGCACAGGGTACTTTGTAGGTATATACTTAGCTGAAACACGAAGTTATTAGTGGCAAGATGGGCAACACAGGATCGTTAAGGACATGCATTGGTGGAGTAATACCTTCAGCAGGGACTATCTACTTGCAGGGTACGTCCGTGCAGGACGGTGCATGTTCAGCTCTGGCGGCAGCACTAAACAGCAGGCCTGCTACATGTTGGCAGGTTTCACTAAGTCTGAAAGAAAAAAAAAACTGTTGTTCACAAAATCAACGGACAACCTCGAACATGTATTTACAGGCGCTAAGCCCGCGTCTTGCAACATCGAGCTTTTTAGGTAGCACCGCAATGAGGTAAAGTACTCGATAGACGTGATCTTGTGAATACAACAATGTGTACCACGGCAGCACACAGTCTCGCGTATATCCGTACATTGTAACGGTTCGCAAAAAAAGCTGCCATTAGTGCGCGAGGCTGCGCTTCGATGTATAAGCGCAAACCATGATTGATATAGTAGCACGGGTCGTTTATAATCACAAAAGCGGGAGCTGCAGCAGGTATAAGCACTGGGGTAAACTCCTGTCCTATGAAGAGAACGTAATGTTCCGATAAGGGAACTGCATGCTCCCATTACACTCGCAAGCGCATAGGCGCAACATTTGTTTACACACATTTTCGACACTCGGTGATTTGCACTACAGACGCTAGTAAAATCAAAATACCTCACCCAGCAACACAGTCACAGTGCGCTCCAACGATGCGACCGGTAGCCACGATGAACCATGCCGTTGTTACATACACGCCGGACTTCATGGACGGTGCGCACGCCGCTCTCACCAGACCTAGTTCATCATCAGATGTTTGGAGGTTCAACTTCAAGTGTTTGACGTATCCTTCTTCCTTGAAGGACCAGCCGCGATGAGCCTGGCGAACGGTCGAAGTAGCGGAGTGTAGGTACCGCCACACGTCGTCGTTGCTCAGGCTCCAACGCGAAAAATCCTCGCTCCATCCCGTTTCCACAAACGCAAACGGGATGTTTTCTTCTTCTATCATGTTGTTTCCGTAAGCAGCGCACGTTTCCGGCAAATAAACAACACTAAATCAATAAAACAAGCGCACGCGAGCCGCCGAACGCTGCCTAGCACATGTTAGTTCACGAATGCCTTTCCAACCAAAAGCGCGAGCGCTGCTTCCCTGTTTAGACGGCAGGTGGCGCTCGCTTTTCCGCAATGTGCCAATTCATCTAGTTGCAAGAAGAGGACTGAGACCTCCCACTAAGTGGTGAGTGATTATCTACACCGAAC